TGAGGGGAACCTTATTGCTCCCTACAACTGCCTGACAGGAGGATGGAGCCAGGAGGGGGCTGGTCTCTGCTCCCACAGAACAAGGGACAAGACAAGAAGAAATGGCCTCAAGTTCCACCAGGGGAGGTTTAGATGGAGATGAGGAACAATTCCTTCTCCAAAGGGTAGGAATGCTCAGGCATTGGAACAGGCTGCCCAGAGAACAAGGGACAAGACAAGAAGAAATGGCCTCAAGTTCCACCAGGGGAGGTTTAGATGGAGATGAGGAACAATTCCTTCTCCAAAGGGTAGGAATGCTCAGGCATTGGAACAGGCTGCCCAGGGCAGTGCTGGAGTCACCGTTCCTGCAAGTGTTCACACATCGTGTAGATGAGGCCTCAGTGCCATGGGTTAGTGGTTGCCTTGGCAGTGCTGGGAACAGTTGGACTGGATGATCTTAAAGGTCTTTTCCAACCTGGTTGATTCCATGATTCAATTAGCCTCCTCTGTAGAAGAAACATATTCACTGAACAAACACCTATTGACATCTCTTTATGCTTCCTTCTTACCTCCGCTCATGCCTCCTCCTCTCCTGCACTGGCTGCTCTCCCTGCACTAATAAACCTCTGCCTTGAGGGAAGCAGGTAGGGCTTGTATAAGTCCCTGTTGGGTATGAGCTACCTCCTGCTCCTGCTTGCCCAAATGCCTGCCTTCTCCTGCCAGTCTTTCCCTTGCTGCTACTTCCTCCTGCCCCACCCAAATAATCACACAGTCATTTAGAAAACGAGAATAATATACACACAACGAACATCATAGACAAAAACATATGTAAAAATGAGACGAAACCCACAAAGGACAAAGCCTATGGTAGTTCAGGAAAAATACCCCAACTGTTCTTTGGACTTTAAAGTCTCCACCTTGTTTTTATGCTTTAGACTAAGCAAGACCTACAGTGCCACCTCAGCAATACTCATAGCTATATACTTTCACAGTACTGTAGCTAGGAGTTGTGTTGGATTCTAAACATTATAAATACTTCTGGTTTTCCATTAGAACAGATGAAACTGGGTAACTGTGCTGTGAAAGCTGACTGTAACTATTGCAAGCCATTCTAAAAATGCAGGATTTAGATGATTTTTCTTCCAGCTACATCTTGATGGCTACATTATTTACATTACTGGTTTACTTCTGTATGGTCTAATTACCATTGAAACAAAACTGAATTACAGGACAGGGCTAGAGCTGGCTGCCCTCGTGAGCAAGGGAAGGATGTGAATACATCTCTTTTTTTTTTTATAATCACCTTTTTCCAGGTTGGTGAAACCCAAAGTTCTGAGGTGCTACTGAAGATTTGTGTTTGTGCTCTTCCAGGTTCTTGGAAAACTATTCTGACATTCAGACCCAGAAGGCAGTGTTGAACAGCTTCAAACACAGATTCATCCTATTTTTTCTGATTCTTCCAATTCAATGAAGATGGAAGACACAGTACAAGGTGTTAATAGTTCTTCCACACTGTTTTCCCACCTGAGGCTATCTCCAGAAAGCCTGCTTCCCAGGCAGCCAGCTCATTAAAGCCAAGGTGTACTAAATGTAAACAGATGTGCAGCTATGGATGATGGTGTCTAAGCCCCAGCACGTTACGAACTGACATGGACCTGCATGTTCACAGAAACAACCTTATTATGGACTTGGAACATATTTACAGCTCTTTTGGGTTATAGTTTTCTCTTTAAAAGCCATGGAGCTATGTGACAGTATGAAGAACAGAAAACATTTTTCGTAAGCCCTTTATTCCCAGGCATCTTCAAGTAACGCCTTTAACTGCACAATACTCAGTACTCTTTACACACAAGGCAGTTCATGTTCCTGAGGGTATTCCTTGGCTGATGGTAACCACAATTACCTGTAAAAAAGGATTATTTCATCATGTCTTCAACAAAGATAAGCATGAGAGAAAAAACTATTATCAGGCTGTTTGGCTTCAGTTCTTCCTAATGTCTCCCATCACATTTCAAATTACTGGTGATGAGAATCTGTATTTATTTCCATGTTTAGATAAAACATTTGAAAAGGAACATTTCAGTGTTCCTGTGACATAACTGGATGCTCAAAGGCTCCCCCATAAATTCCTAACCAGGATTTGACAGGTAACTTTCATAGAACCAAAGCAGAATTTAAAGTCCTCCTTCAAATGCCAATTATTTTATCACTTTATACACTTCTGATGATAAAAAGGACGAGTATAAAACCACTGACTTTATCAAACCCATCACCAACTTCTTTTCTGAGCTGATTTCCAACCTTAAAGAGTAGCTTTCACTTAGTTAAAAAAAAGATACCAATAGTACACTATATTCACACAGCAAACAGTTTGGTGTTAGAAGCATCTCAAATAAAACAAGATAATCCAGGGAAGTTACTCCTCTGTTTCCAGGTGAAAGAGAAGACTTGAAGTGAGCCACAGAGTGACACAGCCACCGTGCATATTAATAACAGTGGGTGGACAGTAAAAGAAAATAATGAATTAAAAAGTAAATAAAATAACTCTACCCTCACCAATAAGGATTTGTTGCAACTTTCCTTTGGCCTGGATGTTGAAAAAAGAACCCCAAATACACGGGCCATTTAATTTTATGCCTCCTTGTGACAAATTGTATGACAGAACCCTAGACTTCCATCCCAGGAGGATGCTCATCACCTGTGTGGCAGCTGTGTTATGTACAAGAGCTCTGTGTGGTGCTAATTCCAGGAGACCTATAACCAACAGAGCACCATGGGACGACTCACATCGCTCCTACTCCTGTTTAAAAACCCTTCAAGGCGACATCTTTCTGTCCAATAACCTCCAGAGACAATTTAGAACTGAAAGCATGAATTCTGCCTCCCTCCTGCCCCTCTTTCATCACAGAGGACCAACAACAGCTTCTGAAACAAACCATCCAGTCCGAACATGTGAGACAACCTGCCTGCTAGTTTGTTCCAGTCAAAAAAAAAGGCATAAGAATCACCATGTTTCCAATTTACCTAGCCTTTATTTCCAACATAAAACCTTATTATAACTTTCTCTGATGGGCTGGAAATCTTTTTAGTGCTCCTTATTATTTTCTTGCAAGGGCATTTTTCTATTTGATCAAAAAAGGGACAAAAAGATGCTGTTAGCAGATGGACTGAAGAAGTACAGCCCAAGCTTTACACACTTCCTGTTAGAAAGCTATTTTTCCATCTTTTATGAGATTCCCTGAGTTCCTTTTGTCTTTCCATTAACACTTTAAAAGGTGGACTCAACAGTGATTCTGTGGAGGTGTAACATCTGCCCATGCAGCTCATCATGCCAAGCGCTGATGTTATGGGTCACTTCTCTGGCTATCCAGACTAAGGGTGCTCTCACACAGTTTCCTTCCTCCTCTTTCAGCTATTTTTCTCCCAACATCATTAATCTCTCATCTCTTAACTTTAATTTGCACTTTAGGGTGAATTTCAAGAGGTACAAACAGCAGAAAGATGCTCAACTCCCAAAACAAGCCTTTTAAAAGTCTTTTAAATCATATCCATTGCCCTGTTTTCTATCATCTGCAGCATTCTGTGCCACCTTCATGGGCAAAATATCCCAACAACAACCACATTACTAGTATTTGCCATATACCTTTGCATCTCTTCTGCAGCCCACATGGCCCTACAAGGACTTGATGCACAAAACCATCCAGGGCAAGCTAGTGTGGGCTGGCAAAGCCCAACTGACTGCCACTCAAAGCAACAAGGAATGACCTGAAACGAAGAGCAGGGAATCCCAACCTCTCTGTGCTCTTGGTAAATTACCTCTAAAAGACATGTTAATACCCTGGAACAACTGCCATGTTCTAGAAGGAAACAATCCCTTTAAAATCAGTGTACTGAGACAGAGACATTCCTGTTCCTCTCACAGCAATACTCTGCCTTCTCCACAAGCTTTGAAACAGAGACACCGAGACTGCAGAAGGCAAAAATAACCCTAAATTGATGTTAATGGGTGATATGAAGAAGAAAAATAATCACTCTCTTTTTCAGAATTAGAAGTGGGCAAAACACCCCCACTGATTGCTTCAAACTACTGTAGGAGTCTCACCGAAAAGACACTGAGCTGCCAAAAGCACATCAAAAGAGCGTAAGAAGTGACTTAACAGAATCTGTGCCCTCATCATCACTTTCTGGAAATCTTCAATTTGTATCTACAAGCACCTCCTTTGATTTATTTAATGAGAACTAATAGGGTCTTAAGTAGACGCCACTGTTACTCCAGAACAGGTTTATACTGGTTAAACCATTACTATGTAGGAGGATTATTTACTCTCTGGGTTTTGTTCATTTATGGCAACTAAGAATTGACATAAAATTGCTTATTAAATTTGCACAAGTGCTTTTCCCTGTGAAGTCAGTGACCCCACTAACTCAGAAACCAGCAAGTATCAAAGCAGACATGTTCACACGGTTTCTACTTGGGCACATCTCACCTCACAGATAACTACTGATTTACTACTGGTGCATTCAGTTTTTTTTTCTACATGCTAAAAAGGCAATGGTTTACTACCCATACCCAGTTACTATTTTTAAAGGGATTACAAAGCAGTCCCTCACTGGCTTTCTTACACTATTTCATCGCTTTTAAAATTACTTTACCTCTCTCTACTTTGGCTTTATCTCCAGTCTTCCAAAAAAATTAATCCAGCAAAAATTATTAGTCAAAGGATCACCCAGCCATAAGGAAGAGAAGGAACAGGTCTGGAAATCCAGACCAGGGTGTGACAGAATAGTAAACTGGGATTCTGAATACACCTTTCTTCATTTTTGTGCCTGCCTCCATATCATCACTCAGCCACAAAAATAAGCATGGAAAGCAGACACAAATGCACATCATGTTATTTTCCCCCTGCTCCTAAAAGTAAGACAGGCTGAATGGTGGTACATCTGATTTCCATTTTGTTCTAGTTTACTTTCACAGCATTGCTGAAGATGGTATTTTCATGAGGCAGAGCACCTCAAAGATGCCCAGTACAACCAGCAAGGGTCAGAACCACATCCAGCTCTCCCCTATCTCAGCACAGCCCTCACCCCACTTTCACTAACCCAAAGGCTCATTCCCCCCAAGCCATCAGCCCTGCCACTGCCCTGCCTAAGGAAGATTAATACTGAACATCAAAAAGAAGAAGTAATAGTTAAAACTTAAGTTGAGCAACACATAGTTAACAGTAAGAGTATTGATGTATATTACTGTTAATAAGCAGTTTGCCATTTAAAAAATATATATTTTTAATATATATATATTGCAGCCCATATATCCCTTAAGATTATTCCAAAAAACAATTTAAAAACAAAAAGTCTGGTTTAGTATTTAATGAAAAGAGATGGACATTTATAGGAAGCATCTATCTGAAGTAATTTTAGTCTATGTCCTCCTCCAAATCTGAGTTCTGCAAAGGCTTTCAGACACATAACAAAAGGTACGTTCTTCAAGGAGTGCCACTTACTCCACATGTCTCATTCTGTGTTTGCATGGGATTAGCCTTTGGCTCCATGTCTTGCCTTTTTTGGTTCTGCTTCAGTTGGTTTAAAGAAGGTTTTGTCTGTGCAGCTCCAACAGTTTTGCTTGTCCACTGGTCAACCAGCTTGTGAAGATCATCTGTGAATGTCCCCTTCTTGTTATTACTGTTGTTGGCCTGAACCTGCAGAGTTGATTGCGGGAGGGGCTCAGGACACGTTACAAGACTGTTTGTTGAGGATCCTGGAAAACCACACACAAAAGAAAGCTGAGGATGACATCTCTGTTTCACCACTTCCCTGCTCAAACAGTTTCTCATCTACTGCAGTTCAAATGGTGGCTTTTCGAACTTTTATCCCTCCCCCTCCTTTCTACAGAACACCTTTGCTTAAAGAAATGGTCCGACTCCAATGCATTCATTGTTTTTGTCACATTCTGTTACCACTAGCTGTTGCACCCACAACTTCTCTCTAGGTAAAATTAATGTCTCGGAGAGAAGAAAGGAAGGCAGTCCAAGTAACATGGACATCCTAAGGCTTACAAAGCCCCCCTCCTGACGAGACCACCACGAGCAGGTTGGAGGCAGGATGTATCACTAGCTAAAACTGCACGCATTTAAAAAATTAATTTACCATTTATTGTACTTGCATAAGTTTACTGTCCTCCTGGAAACATAAAATTGTGATAGAGGTTACAAGTAGGGTTGGCTACTACGCCTCTGGGAACCCACAATCTCTCTCAATGATATTAGGACCATTTACTCTGCCATCTGCATATTTTTTGGGGAAAACCCCCCATCAGGATCATGACAGAAAAGGAGAAGAGGACATAGTAGGTGTGTGAGGTTTTGAGGTAAAGATAAAGATACAGAACTTTGGCATAGACAAAAGCAGACAGGAAGAGTATTGACAGAGATTTTGTTTTATATGTTCACTTCTTTCTAGACGAACTAGGAAAAAAAAATCTGTCCTTCTTATGTGTTGGTAACTACAAGTCTGATACGGCAAAACCAGCAGGGAACAGCAACTGAAGGTGCCTGAATCTGACCTAAGCAGAAAATATAAGCTAACTTTTTACCTAATATATTTGATATAGCTAAAGATTTGAAATAAAGACCATCTCTCCAAGCAAAAAGTTCATTGAACTGTGGTAAAATTATCATAGAAGCAAACATGAACATTCAGTCTTCTTGTTTCTGTTAATCAATTACCAGCCAATGGAACCAAGTAAACTAATTAGTCCTATGGTTATACAAAATACATTAATAACCTTTAAATGATCATGCATTCAACCTGCAACATAACTTATAAGTGGATACTGCTCATTTTCTTTTGCTTTACTTAGGGGAAAGGGACCAGTGAGAAAAATAAGATTTTTGACAGGAAAGCTCTTCAATTAGTGTTTCGATTTCATGCAGCTCAACAGGAACAAGATTGCTTTAAGCTATAAATTCCTCCAGCAGAGAACTGCAGTCATATAAAGGTGTGTATTTCAGAAAGACAAACACTGAATCCAGTTTTCTGGCTGCATGCTTGCACAGTCTCACACACAAAGAATACCACAAGTGTCTCGCAGCATGCGTGATCCCCAAGACATCATAGCACATGCATTATTACGAAAGTACCACAGTTTATACAGTCTAATTTCATACCAGTATAAGTGCATCAGCTCTATTTATTAAACAACTAGCTTTTAGTTAAAAAAAAAAAAAAAAAAAGGCAAAAAACATCCCATGCCATGAAGGAAACACTGAGAAACAAAAATGGGATAGTTACTACTACTGTGATCTTTGCCTAGACATAGTCGTTTCAAGGTGGACCCTACAAGGTAAAACAATACAAGACATACAGAATTAGGTAAGACTAAACACAACAAATCTGACGGACAAGCTTCGGTACTTTTAAGCAATCAAAAAGTAGTTATTATGCAAGAAAGGACAGACAAAGTCAGCAGTTCAGGTGAGTAAAGGAAGTCTAAATAACTGGACAGCTCAAACCTTTCTTAATGTGCAGCCATTCAGAAGCTTTGAAAAGTACAATAGCATGCCAAAAGCAAGGTCTCATGGGATATTTTTTTTGTTTGGTTTGGTTTTTAGTTTGTTTAGGTTTTTTTCTCCAAATCGCCTTGGCTTCCTAATAGGAGCTTTTAATTCCTACTCTATTTATGCAGGAAATGATGTCAATTCAGTTTGTGACAGGAGGCCAAAAATGCTTTCAGGAACAAGTCAAGCTAGTCTGGCTGCAAAGACAAACTGTAAAACAACCCTAAAAGTCCTGTTTTACAAGTCCAAAAAGATACATTGTTCTGCAGGTCTGAGGCCAATTGTTTCCAAATACTTTATTAGTAGGATTTGTGTCTAAATGTGAGAATCTGAACTTCAATTGACAGTAACAGTGAATGAGTTTCCCTTATGCTTTGTCAAAATGCACAAAAACAATCCAGCAGAGTGGATGAGTTTTTGTTTAACCAAACTACATGCTTTTTTACATTATTATCTTGTTAAATCCTTTGTCATGATTTGACATATTCTGTTGGATAGTTACAGTGCCAGAAGTGTACCAAGAACCCTCCTCGACTGTCAGATCTTGCCAGACATAAGCACCATTTCTATGTGAGTGCCAAATTTCCTGAAAGGTATTTTGGACTTGGTAAGAATATCATTATGGTATGGGAGGAGATGAGTATCTTACATGGGGCATGGTAAGTTTATTGTGAAGAAGCACCTGAAAATATGAGCACAGTCAGAGAGGGGCAAAAAGCAAGAATCGGGATAGATGGGCTTTTTGTCTGCAGCAAACCAGTGTAGATAATTTATGTTATTGTGCCAGAAATGCAGCTTTGAACTCAGAGATTGTAGGTCCAGATTGACAGAGACTCTGAATGAGTCTTTGAAGGAGAAAGGACAGACATCAGTCAGAGACTGAGGAAGAGAAAGTAAAAAAAAAAAAAGAGGGAGGGGGAAAATAGAGAAGAAATGTTTGTGCTTTGATATGGGTGTCATGAGGAGAACAGAAGGATTGCTTTGAAAGATTTTCTTATTATTTCATACAGTTAATGAGGTTTCTATTCCAGGAAAATCAGAAAGACATGACTACAGTAATGTCTTATGCAAGCATGATCAACTGTATGTTTTCATCTCAAAGTCTAGATAACAAACAAGTCACATTCACAACTCAACAATGTTGTATTTTTCACTTTTTCCCCTCAGATACACCTTACCTTGCCTATCTCAAAGTTACCTAGCAACTCCCATTCCGGAAGCAGCAGCATCAGTCATACTAGAATGCTATTTTCTGAACTATGCTTCAGCATTTCTGCATGGAGCAATATGCAGCATTCAGCACAATATGGATGCAAATGAAAAGCAACTGCCTACAATATATAAAAGCAGGCAGCTGACTACAGTACATGCTCCAATGCCTGTAAAAAGAGTTTAATCATCAAGCCCTCCACTTCTTGAAAACCAGCCACAAGTTTACATGTACCTCGGATGCCAAAGCAAACCCAGGGCCCCCAGAGGTGTGGGGAAGAGGCAGAGAGCAGCGAGGAAGGGCAGATTCAGAGCACCCACGCGAGGGGAGTCAGCTTTAAGGAAAATCTTACAGAAGAGTCAGTCGCCAAAAAAAAAGAGCTGTTTCTGTTACCACTCCAGCATGTTGCTTGGGAGATGAGGAACATTATCTAGAGAGGTGATAATGTCTGAAGCAGGGGCTGACAATCATTAGCTACGGCTGGTTTTAAATTCAATTTCAATTAAAAATGCACTTGGTACACCTAATTCACCAGATTAATTGTATTACTTCTACAGTTGAGGTGTTTAACAGCTGTAAAGTTAAAGAGATTAATCATAATTAAGATTTAATCTAAGACTGCAAAAGTTCAGCAAAGTGTTTTACCTCCAATTCCAGATTTCTTATCTGAGAAATTAAGTAGCCATTTTATCCTGCAGGACACAGCAAATCCACTGTCCCATATTTGCACTGTAACAACTGCCAAAAAGCTTGAAAGCTAACATAAAATTGGAATGGCAATAGGCACATACAACATACGAATTACTATAGACCAGGCAAAAATGGCTTTAAACAAGATTACAGGTCTAAGCCAATGGAGCTTTTGAAACTTCCACTCACAGTCAGCACAAACTCTTCCCTAAGATGTCCTTGCAGTTTAACCCAGGCTAAAATGATGCTGAAGCCCACCAAAACTAGTTTCTTTCATGAAAAGTACAAAGGAAAAGTCAATACTGGACATGGGGAACACATCAAAAAGCAATTCTGGTAGAACACTGTGAAAATGTTCAAGTTTGATGGATCTTGTAACAAGGGCAGCACATTTGCAGAACTATCTTTAATGCATCTGAACACTTATTTTTAAAAGCATGCTGCTAATTTGTTTCCTAATACAGCACAGGCCTCACTCTGGAATATCCAAGCTCTCCGAAGGGCTCTTTTTTACTTAATCAAATGTATAGATCCAAAGCACTTCTGAAAACCATAGAATCATAGAATGATTTTGGTTGGAAGGGACCTTAAAGAAAAATCCAGCACAACTTTTCTCAACAGCTCTCAAACAAGAAATCCAGGGAAGCACTAACTTAGGCCACAGACCCAGAATCCTGGACTGCCCAGCCATGGTACCAAACTGCCCACACTAAAGAGCCGTATCCCAGCCCACTGGCACTCCCACCATCATCGTCTATCACTGTTTGTCCTGAGGCCCATGGCCACGGCAGCTCGGGAGTCCAGCTCGATGGAACCACCAGCCACACATTCTTCCAGCAGCAATCCCAGCCCCAGCTGCCCTTGGGAAGGATGGAGCCACACGCAGCCCCATCTCCATCCCTTCACACACACACACAACCAACTATCCGGGAAAAAAAGCCAGAATAACCTGTATCCCCATCAAAACCTACCCGCAATTCTGCTGTGAAAAGCTGCCTAGCAGCTCTAGTGCCAGGCAGCATTTAAAACTCAGCTGCGCTCTCTGAGCAGCGGCGACTTTGGATGGGTATGTCAGGGTTAAGTGCCTGAAACTCGGCCCATCTCCTCATCTGACTCAGAAATGGGGGAGTGCAAACCTCCTCTCCCAACACCTCCTCAGAAGAAACCAAGAAGAGAGCATATGGGCTGAGAACAGAAAGCAATTAGTCGTGCTGAGTTATTTAAGCATCGTGAACTTCATGCCTTGAAGGATTTACATATTCCCTTGGTTTCATTCACAATACCCATGCACCCAAACATTTTAATATGCTGGTTTTTAACTGCCATCTCACAGTCTTTTTGCATCCTATTGAATAGTAATTCTGTTAAAGATTAATGAAACAACTTCTGGGAATTACGTGTGCAGAGTAAGAAACCACGATGTCCATCACAAAACCAAATGGGAAAACATGGACTGAGAATTCCCCTCAGCGAATGAAAAATTGTCTCAATTGTCTCATGACTTCCAATAGTTGTTAAAAACTTGCATATAATAAACCCAGTCTGTCGAGCAGGAAACCTCAGTTTTCAAGAACCTGAATGCTTGCACTTTTCAGGGACCTCAAACAGAAAACCAAGATTATTTTTTAAAACACTATTTATCCATAAAATTAGGAGTGTATTTGTGCCTTTGATCTCTACCACTTGGATAATGATGAGCAATGTAAAACTCCCATGAGAATCTGATATTAATGCAAATGAGCAGTTAGTTAACCAAACACTTCCTCAAGAATATTATTAGCCTTTCTAATGTTATATGTAAGTGGCCTATAGTACCTGTTCAGCACAACATATCTTTATTGTACGAGCAAAATCTGTTTGCCTAAAAAGCAGCATATATGATTGAGTAAAAAGGTCTTAATTTGTTAATTAAGTAGCTTGATATCATTTGGTTGAATTGCCAATTGCTTCACAAGTCAGACAAATAGGGTACAAATAGAAGGTGCACAGTTATTTGAAACAAAAAATCCTAGCAATCCATTTCAAAGTATCATCTGAGAATCTGATATTGCTTTTTACTTCTTTCTGCTTTGATGAACTGCTAATTGACTTCATCTCGGAGGTCACATAAGGTCATAAGAAAATACACTGAGTCAAGTGCTTCAGCCAGATCCACTTACACAAAAAAAGTTGATGGCACTCTCCCTTGGAGTCACCAGATCTTCCTGCTGCTTACGAATAGGTAAAAAAATTGCTCACTTAAAGTAATTAAAGTGAATGCACGGGGAAAACCCATCTCCAAAACAGATTTTGAAAGAACTAGCTGGAGCACTATTGTCTCAGCATTTCTACATGCAAAGAGCGGGGGGAAGAAATTAAAGAAAATAGAGTGGATATAAACAGTACTGTATATCGTGTTAATACAGCCCTTGTATGGAAGTTATACCCTCCAGTGACCTTCTAGTATTGTATCAGCTTGCTACATGCATGTCTTCATAGTCCAAACATGTGTGAAAGAGACCATTCGTCTACAGAAGGATGGATTTCTTTTTGTTGTCGCTGGAACCGGGACAGCAGACATGTATATTTGCCACATTGCAAATAAAATTACTTCAACATAAATCACATAAAGTACAAAAGCTTTGATAAGTCCAGGGTAGAATTTACCATAAGGCTATATAATAAATGATGAGATCTTCCACACATGCTTTTGGTGCCCAGGCATGAGCCAAAAGCAGTGCAAAAAAAGCTTTCATATGAAAAATTAATATAAATAAGGTGTGTTCATGATGATTACTTAAAAGAAAGATAAAAAGAAAGAAATGATGGTTCAGAAAAAGGGGCATCCTGCCAAACATATCAGAGATATAAAACATGGAATTGGAAAAAGGGGGTAAAAGAAAGATGGGCTGTGATAAAATACAAAAGAACAAATACAAACAGATGGACAAAGACACAGGTCCACTGAGGAATCTGGTACGAGGTTTGCTACTAGATTTATAGGTCACTCTCTCAGACGTTTGGTGGAAAACCGTCCAGCCTGCAAATGAATATAAAGGGAAGAAAACAAAGACACTTATAAAGTACAAGTAGCTGTGATCAGATGTCCTATACCATCAGTCAAATCAGCTTTGTTAGTTAAATATCCACATCTCCATTTTAACTTTGCCAAAGAGGAGTAAGTTAATTGACCATACACAAAGGATGCAATAACAGCAGAAGAGAACAGATAGGTATTTTGTAGATTAGTTTGGCAGGATGTGCAATGAGAGGAAGGTATTTTAATCATCATTATAACTTCCAATATGCATGGCAACAAGATCAGTCAAAGCCTATGGAGGTGTGCAATATGCAGGAGTTTCAGAGGTCAGGACTGGGGAACACAGCCAGTCTACAGTCCTTGGGCTGGGACTCCAAAACCATGCATGAAGTTAACCCCTTAGATAAAGGAAACATAAGCTGGTTCTCTGATTTTGGGTTTCTTTGTTTTGTTTTTTGGTTGGGTTTTTTTTTCCTTTCTGTTTTTAGAATCACAGAATGGTGAGGGTAGGAAAGGACCTTAAGACCATCTAGTTCCATCTAGTTTTTCCCCTCACACCCAAGATGATTTGGTTGTTTATAATGAGGAGCTCTGGGTCTACCAGAATCAAGGGGCTTATCAATAAAGCCCAAAATGAATCAAAGGAAACAATCTCTTCTCCTTCTACATCTTTGTCTGGTTTACTTTCTTTTTTTGTCAGAAATCTGTAAGGCAGACTCCAAAAAAGGTGTCAGTATAAAGCCACTGCTGGCAGAAATAAAAGGTATTTCCTTCCTAAAAATTAGCATGTCTTCTTGAGTGTTGACTCTTAACACTTGGTAAGATACCTTACTTTTGTCCTTCTGGCAATACTGCAATAATCTCTTTAAAGATAAGCCAGTAATTTGCCTTGTCAAAGGTTTGTGTTCCTATAGCACTAGCAGTGAAATCCATTTCTAAGAAGTTCAAGCATAAAGGAAGCAAACTAATTTTAGCATGTGCTGGAAGACATGCCAAACAGCTGGGATGAAAAAAATCACCTTGGCCAGAGCTTGCGTTCACATCACCTCCTTCAGGGCCTAAGCCAGAGCAGATGTCAGAAGACAAAGAGGCCTTGACAGAGCACGGCTGCTGTGTCTGAACAGCCTTCCCGAAGGTGGCTGAGGCAGAGGAAACTACTGCTGCTGCTGCTTCAGGAGAGCCAGGCTGAGATTTAGGTGTTTCTTTGTGGGGTGAGTCTTTAGAGTCTGAAAGATTACCTGAAAGAGCAAACAAACAAAATACACATGATGGCAAATGGCAGGAAAACATTGAATCAAAATCCATGCCTAAAAGTCATTATCTTTTCCAACCCTAACTATTCTATGATTCTGTGACCCTCCTTTGCCACACAGAACAACGGGGCTTTGCAGTTCTGAAGTACGGTGTGAAGCACAGAATTACAGACCGCAACAGAAAATCATCTACATATACTACTGCTGATCCAGTTTCATAGAATCACACAATCCCAGACTGGTTTGGGTTGGAGGGACCTTAAAGCTCATCCAGTTCCAACCACCTGCCACAGGCAGGGACACCTTCCACTAGAGCAGGTTGCTCCAAGCCCCTGTGTCCAACCTGGCCTTGAACACTGCCAGGGATGGGGCAGCCACAGCTTCTCTGGGCAACCTGTACTCCAAGAAGCTTATGGAGTAGGCTTGATTTTTACAGTTTCTTTGCCTGCATTTTTCAGGAAGGCTGGAGTCAGGACCTCACAAGAAGCACTGCTGAATTAAAGTGAGAGCCACAGAAGTGCCTAAGTAGGAGGATGAATGCACATAATGACTGAGCAGAACACGTAGGTTTGCTCTCAAACATACAAGGTGAAAGCAAGCAAATGGAGAGAAATAAAAAGTTGCTGCAAAGACATAAGGAACTTTTATTTATAGCTATCTATAGATAGATAGATACACATCTCTATATAGGTATCTGTATCTATCTACCTGTCTGTCTACATGAATATCTCAGGTAAAGATGCTTTACCACCAGAATACCTTTGTAATAACTTATTACATGGATTTATCAGCAAAAGCATCTAATAGTAGAAATGACAATCACATTGGTAACTGTACTAGAAACTTCTTGCCCTTGGTCCCTACGAAGGTGGAAAAAAAGAGGAATCTACTTAGTCAATGATGAGAAGACTCAGGCATGAATACTTAAAGTTAATGTGAACATCATACAGTGCCTCAAACCCCTGGAAAATAATGCAGAAGAAATGCATGAAAGAAAGCATGCACCAAAGCAGCAGATTGACCAGATGTCTGTTCTCTAACTGGAGGTGACAAGGGAAAAAAAAAGGAGAATTGTGGCATTCGATGCAGAAATAAATTTTACTCTGTGGACTAGGGTAGCAAACTGACATAAGCCAAAATCCACAAGTGCAGACAGATGTGGGTTTTGTGAACAGACAGAGGGAAAAATGGCTAGAGAGAACCAATCAACAAACCGCAAAATGAATAACAGACATTCATAGTATCTCATGACAAGGAAAGGAAGTAAAACCTCTGCATGTCAGCCGGTAGTAGCTGAAGAGCTATAGAGCACTGAACCAGCATAGCATCGCTTCAGTTCCTGCAGGCAAGTACACTGAGACTCAAGATAGATCACACAACATCTTGCCTCTGAATATCCTTGCTTCTCCTATCTCACTTGAAATCCTTAATTAAAAGCAAAACCTTCCAAAACACTGTCTACAATTCATTGTGGTGCAATGAAATTCAAAGCAGACCTATGATGCAGTGACTTTGAAAACAAGAGCTACCAGGTTTGAAATACAGAGTTCTCTAAATAACAGCATGAACTAGGTAGTAGAATAGAATAGAAATGATTTTTCTTCATTTTGCTGAAGAAATAGGCACTGGGGCATATCAACATTTCCCAGTTGAATTATAGCTTTATGCTTTCCAAAGAGATAATGACTCAAGACTGTACTACTGTTTGAAAAATCTCAAACTGCCTCAAATGGTCCAAGCATCCATCACAGTTTTATAACTGTTCTTACCTTCCATCCTTTGGGGGAGCAAATGCAATATAATCTTATTTATATGGCATCTTGTAGAAAAAATAAACAACAACACAAGATACAGCACATAATCAGTAGAGGATAACAGCACCTAAGACGTGAATACAAACATCAATAAATGCATTTGGAGAAAGGATAAGAAAATGTAACCAGGCTGTATTCCAAATTAAAGTGGACTATTGTTTTTCTGCCAAGCATTGTAGCTGATGCAGAGAAGGTGTGTATGGTTCAGCACTGAGCAGCTGCAATAAGCCTGTCCCAAAGGAAGCCCACTGCAAAAACTGTTTGCAGAACTCAAACTTGAGCCATGCTGTTAAAAACAAGAATAATTCGGTGCCTTTCCTGCAGTCCACGCAATTACACAGCAGAACCACATCCAACACTAACAAAACAAACTAGGAAACAACCTAGTGTACCTACTTGTGCTTGATGTGCCACTCCTGAGCTGCTGGACCAGAGGGTTTAATAGTTTTCCACCTTTAAATTTATTTTTGCTGGTTCTTCGGCGACGGCTGCTTGGTGGGGCTGAGTGAAGGAACCCCAGGTTGGGAGGAAGGGGCTTCCCTAACCGAATATACAGTGCCTCTATCTCATTCTTCTGCTGAGTTTGAAGTTCAGCAATTTCTTTCATATGCCTAAACATAAAAACCAAAGAACTCTGCTAGCAATGTATCTGATGAAGCAGTGCATCCTGACAGCATAGACAGTTATAAAAAAAGAAACAATACAGTCTGGTTATAAAACAATCAACCACCCATCCAAAAGTATGTGAAATTACAACAATCTACCTGTGGTGACTGACTTCTCAAATACTCATTTGTAAGACATAATTCTAGACAGCTAAAAAGACTTTCGACATCCTCTGTAAAAACGATTGATTTTGACATGAGATCTGAACTCCAAACTATTCCAGAACTCTCTTCAAACCAGTGGCTTAAAAAAAGCTAACTCTCAAGGCATGTATATCAGTTTGAAGGAGTTCAATCTGGAGAAAAACAAAAGTGCTTCCCATAAAAATGCCATTAGCACATGAGTCGTTACCTTATTTTATAATGTAGATTTCATGGTGCCGTAAAGTCTGTTTAAGGGGTTTTGCATTACTGTAGTTCTGTTTTAAAAAGATGCATCATCCATATTCAGTAAAACCATTATCTCTTAAGATAAAGTCTAACGTTTTGGTTAAACTAACATTTAATGCTAGTTTTTACCCATCACCTGCCGGGAAAGAAATAAAATGTTCACATTTAAAGAACTCAGCTCTCAGGACTGGCAGCATGACAGGGTCCTGCTGGGACAGCA